GTTGAAGATAGAAGGTGCCGGTGCCGGTGCCGAAGTCGACGATAGACAGAGTGATGACACTAGGCCTCCTCCGAGGGCGGGGTTGGTTGATGAAGAAGAATTGACATGTTTGAGTAGAGTAATTGGAGATCATGCGGTTGCTTTTGATGCCTTGTGTTCGAATATACAGAGACAGGTTGGGAGTAACAACTGTTCTAGCTCGAGTTTGGCAATAACAGAGCGGAGTAACGATGATGAAACAAAGGTGTTGAACGAGGAGGAAGACGTCAAGTGTTTTGCTTCGATTCAGAGGTGCGTTCAGAAAACACACTTGAGCCATTTGAAAGAGTGCCTGAGGAAAGCGGATGTAGATGGTGCAGTTTCTCGCATTCGTTTTCTTCATGTTGAGCATGGGGTGGACGAGGATGAGTACCGGTATGTTGAATTAAGATCGGTTCTTAACTTAATTACTAAAGTAAAAGAGATGCATAGAAACCATATTCGCAGTTGCACTTGATTTTTCGTTGTCCCGTTTTGTTTTAGTTCAACTGTGGGTAATTCTCTTCTTCTTCTTCTTTTGTTGTTCGTCGATATTTATTTGCAATTCCTTTCGACACTTATGTAGCAAGGTTTTCCAAGACCTCCTCAAGATTATTTTGGCGCGAAATGAGGCATGTGAAGACCACTACGATGTTATCCGAGGAAGGCTGCTTTCAGTTTATAAAGAAGCACTTTCATCAAGTTCTAGACACCTCGTAGAAATGATACAAGTAATTTGTGCGCGCACTCACTTGCATATGAGCCCTTTATCTTTCCCTACCATGAAAACTCTAAACGGTACAACATTATTTTTAGCTAGGTACCGCATTAAAGATGACAGGTAGAATTAATGTTCTTTTGTCACAGATTATTCAAGATGAGGTGCTAGCTGAAGAGATTGAGATGCATAAAGGACTTGATAACAATCAAATTCCGCTCCCATTACGACGCTTTCAAAGTTATATAATGGAGTTGAAACCTGAAATTAACTTGGACGAGAAGACAACATCCCTAACAAAAGCAATATCTTCTTGCATGAGAGACTCGTATCATCATGCTCGTGTTACTGGATCACACGTGCTGGAATGTATAATGGATGCTGCTCTGTCTGCTGTGAAGAGGACACAACTTCAAGAAGCTAGCAATGTTCGTGTCTTGGTTTTGCTTCAAATGGATTACAAAAGCACAGAATTGTTTGACTTACTTTCGTTTATTGTCTTTGGATCTCACTTGGTTTAGGAAACTTTTCTTTCTTAGGTTCTCTTATTGTTTCCTCGCCTTCGGCCTTTGGTAGCTTCAATGGGTTGGGATTTATTGTCGGGTCAATTAAAAGAACGAAGGGAGTTGATGCAACTACTTTGGGTTAGCAAGTCACCTGAATTTCTGCTGGAAGCATCATCCGAGGTTAACTGTCGGTTAGAAGATGTAAGCTTTTTCATGAAAATGCTTTGAATAATATGCTCCCTCTGGGTTGTGTGTGATGATAAAAGTTGACAATGAGACAATATATGATGCTTTGTTGCAGATATCTTGTGTGGAACATCTTTGTGACACTTTATGCTACCATCTTGATCTTGCCGCATTTGTTGCATGTGTCAATTCTGGTCAATCATGGAGTTCAAAATTCTCATTATTGCTATCTGGAAAAGAGCAGATGAGTTGCAGTAGGGTAGATACTAATTCGGACCCCTTTGTCGAGAACTTTGTATTAGAAAGACTATCTGTTCAGAGTCCTCTTCGGGTGAGTATTTCTCCCATGGCCTTGAGAAATCATGCCACAAATTTACAATTGTATTTCTCCTTAAAAATACATTTTATTTGTTCTGTTGCCGTAAGTATGGGTATGATCTTGCAACATTAGGCTTTTAGTAATATATATACACTCACACGCACATGCGCACACACATTTTATTTTGGATCATGGTGTTTACATGTTTAAAGAACCTTTTATGCAGGTGTTGTTTGATGTTGTTCCAGGCATCAAATTTGAGGATGCTCTTGAGCTGATTAGAATGCAGCCAATTTCTTCTAGCATTGCAGCACAAAGGAGGTAGGGTACGTGGGTTCCTTTATGTATGTTTGTTGATAACTGTATGTTACTTAGTAAAGCCCATTAAAAATTTTAGGTGTAATTTGATAACTATTTTGTGTTTCGTTTATAGTTTTTAAAAATTATGATGGTTTTTGTATAATTTCATTAGTAATTTTTTCATCCTTCTTGAGAACATATTTGAAGTACAAATTTAAAAAACAAAAAAGTAATTTATAAGCTTAATTTTTAAAAACAGAAAGTAAAAAACGAAAGGATTATCAATTATCTGTGTTTCAATGTTGAGAACATGTCATTTCTTTTTTTGTAGAGGTTGCAGATTTAGTGCCTCTGCTTCATAGTATGAACGAGCTGTTTTTTGGTTTTCTGGCTTTTGCACTCAGCTTTGAGGCAGCTGTTATCAATTTATCTGTCATTTTAAGCATGTATTGGGTTATCAATTATGAAAGTCTGTGGGATCAGTG